CTTGCGTTAAAATTATACTTCGAAAATATTCGCAAGTTGTGAGTCAGTCGAATGAAGTTGGGCTCTTTAATCATTCATGAAAACAAAAGAACTTCAGCCTCAGATTACAAAAAATTGTTCGCAAGAAATACATGCGCCACGCCGTAGTTTGGATGGGCTGGAGGGAGGCATCCCTCACAACCACTGCCCATTCCCCAGTGACAATGACCATTTTTTCGTGTTGCAAGTTCACTTGCAATGCGAAAAACAGGTTGTTAACATACGCCTTGAGATGAGATTTGATTGAAAAGGGACCAACATTTGCAGAGCTTTCTTTTATCTCAAAAGTCGCTTACATTGGAAAATAAAGTGCTAAAAGGACGATGCAATTACTCCTTGGACGGATGAAAGTGTTTACACTTTGCTTTTGTATGCTGAATTGGAAATGGAAGACAGTGTTGACCACCTTTTTTGTGAATGGGGTGCGTTTGACAGGTCATGTGTGGCTCCAGGAAGGAACGCTCAGACCTTCAAATCTCTTCTAAAAGAAAGATCCGTTTCCGCCAATTTGGTCGGAGAAGCAAAATAGTTTTTGAATGCGTATTTCTTGTCTCTCAAGAATCCCGAAACTTCCTTCCCAATGAAGAGGTTTTCTAATGGGAGGGTAATTATCTTGCCTTAAACAGCTATACTTTTCTCTGTGATTGCAAACGCTTACCATTTTAATCAGCAGTCGCTCGTCACCAAGACGACCGGCAATCAAACCAAACCGTCCTAATATAAGTCGCATCACCATTCTCCACGACTCGTTCGCTGCCTTCTTTTAATTTATCGTTTCATTGTTACAAAGTGCCGCATTTTTTACCTCTAAAAGCCTTACATGATGTACGTGGTGCATGAAAATTCAGGCGGAAAGTGTAATGAAACCTGACTTTTCCGGCGTACATCAGACACAATTAGTTGCTCAAGTCACGGCAGCAAGTTCCTTTTAAGTTCAAAACACAGGAGAAGCAAAAAACACTCACCTTAGTGACATCCTTAGCCAAGAGACAGAAGGATGGAATGAGTTCGTTGACCGCAACGGAGGAAGGTGATGAGGCGGAAAGGTCTAGGGGATGACATGGCACCAGACCCTCAGGGAGGGCGTCTCTGGACTGAATGAGAGCGGCTTGAGGACCATGGAATGCCGAGATGATGTGAATATGCATGCCAGAAGGGCAGAGAAATGTCTGTTGGGCGGGGTGGTGGGCTGAGCAGACAAGACTTTCTTGCATCCGAAAGACAGATGTCCCTGCCTGAAGTCCTGAAATTGATGCGATTAAAACTGTAGATGGGAAGTTAAGATGAAGTATTTCACCAAACATGATGTGTGATGCCGAGTCGTTCTCCATTCTCATACGCCACAGTTACTGACCCTCCCTGAGGCGTCAAGATCTTACCTTTTGTTTACTGTTCTCAGTATAGAGCAAATCATTTGTTTCCACAGTAGAAGGAGTCTCAAAATATTCACCTGCATACATCACCAGGACTTTGGCTTGATCCTGCCTTCAATTTGCTTTAAATCCTTTCGTACTTCATTAGCCCACTCTTTGAGTGAAAAGTGGAACTGTTTTTTTTTGAAGCAAAGGAAACAAGGAAAAACCTTTTACTGAAGATTGTAGCACAATAAGACAGAGAATGGAATTCTCCGACCAACAATTGACAGGAACATTAACTAGTAGTGAATGAGTTCCTGCATATCTCACCCTAGCTCGACTTCTTTGTTCATTGGAGAGGGTTATTTTGAGATCAGTGCAGAAACAACTTTGTCTTCGCCCTGTGGTGCGGAAGTTTTTATGGAGGTGAGAGGGAGACAAAGGGTTAAAAATGGAAATGCATGGGCCTCCATCCCTCTGTTGTTGAACATGGAGTCTTTGCATGCCATCCATGTGATCAAACCTAGTCAGTTTAAAGTATTTGCCTTCTAAAACATCAGTGGTTCTATAGTGTTCCATTTCGTAATCTCAAAATGCTTGCTTCTGTGATCGTAGTTGCGGAAACTTTCAAAGATTGGGACAAACCGGCTACACAAATTACACAAAATCTTTACGACAAAGCGATCAAAAGATATTAAATTATCCTGTCAAGAAATTGTAGTAGCATCAACCTGTGGTCTCCTGTGGTTGTCAACGTGTCAAAAATGCTAATTTTCTGCCTCCCCGAAGGCAATGTGATCACGCGAGGCAATTATCATGCCGACGTAGATGCTATGCAAAAGACAGAACACCTGCACTTGACATGCTGGTTGTCAAGACACTGAAGTAGGTAGTTTGGTGTTTATCAAGGCACCACGTCCATGTTCCATTGCCTCTCGGTAAGCACCTACTGTGTGCGCCCTCCGACTTTCTAAGCCTTAAAGTCACGTTGAAAGTTTATTACGCCTTCCTCCTTGCATTTACGACACCATTGACAGTCCAAAAATCTTAGCTTATGACTGAAAGTAAACCGATTCATAGTTGGTTGCATTTCAAATGACATATCAATCCTAAGTAGGTAACAGGGTTTGAGGCCCTTCCAGAGGAAGGAGGGTCGCGTCCAAAGATCCGACGTCTAGCCCATCAGTGTGCCCACACACACACACTCACATCTCATATAGTGAACAACCAAATTTTTCCACTCCAGTTATTAACACAGCAGATTCTCGTACATCTCGTAAAACAAAATTATTTAAAACACAGTCAAATTTGCGTTCCCGCCAATGACTAAACAAATGAGGAGGGGAAAAGAACACACGCCTGTTCATATTTCAAGATGCGTGCCCATGACGGGCTGATGTACAACGTGCATTATCGTTGACAAGTTTCCAAAGATCAAAAGACTTGAAGTTTACACCTATATATTTACTAATTCGTCTCACATAAATGGTCGCCGTTTCACTGCCTCTTCAACCACAAGGAGACATTGTAACACGAGCGCTACTGCCTTTAATCACTCATTTTACTTATGAATACTCTTCTGCCGCCTAATCAAAACAATGCAAAAAACTTGATGAAGTCACAAGCACCTCTTTGCTGAAAAGCTGTTAATCATTTGCCAGACCACTAAAGGGATAAAAGGCCCTCGCAGTAACACCATTGTAGAGATCGCAGTTGTGAGGTGGAGAACAATTTCAGTAAAGAAACTAGCCCATCACAGACAACTAGTTGCCTGACAAGTTGCCCCAAAGAATGGACTCAAGTTCAAGGAAGGCAAACGATAAAAGTCTAGTAGGTGAAATGATCAAGGTGCAAAGTTGTTTAGAGTGGTGGCGCTTTAACCTCAGGATGGTGTTCGCACAAATAAGCAATGAGCATCAACTACTCAGTGGCCTGCTTTTAAAGGTTTCGTTCTATAAAATGTGTTTAAAGGCAACGGTTCCGTTATAAAGGGGTTTGGCAAAAAGCGAAGGATGCTATTCTAACTCTCCAAATTATCCATGCATGCCACTATTTCATCGCCCCAGCCACTTTGTGGTTATCTTCTCTCTCACCGCAAGATTACTCAATTTTATTAATATGATCTATTCGAAATTGGCCAATTTCAGCAACAAAAAGTCGCCATGTGAGATAGGCACTTGCTCTTTGAATGATAAAATTAAAATAGTTATGAACAGGGAAGACAGCCATCTTCCACGAAATGGAATTGGGACACTCTATGCCTTAAGAAAGCCCAGTCGAAATCTCGTGACTTGGGTTTAAAAAAGGGGGCTGGTGCAATAAATCACAAATTGCTACTAAAAATTGTCTTGACTTTGGTATTGCGTACATTGTTTGGCCTTTGCTGCCCTGGTTGGCATTTCTGTTAGTGAAGGAAGCCATCGTTTGAAGTTTATTCTTTAACTATGAACCTAAAAATGTCTCTTAATCACCTAATATTGCTAGACAAGGAGTGTTTTGTATTCTCTACTCTCAAAATGCGAGATCTTTGTGATGAACAAGCACCGAAGCTAGCGTAAATCTGTTGATAGACATTTAAAGTGCGCACCTTTAAGAGGAACCGACAGTTGGCGAGAAGACTATCATCGCATTAGTGCATCGTCATCATGTTTACCTTCCGTTCGCTTATTTACAGATGCCATTTGACTTCGGATTGACTGAAAGGATCAAATGCACTTTAATTGTTGACACGTAACCAAATCAGTCAGCTGTTGCAAGGCATCTGGACGTTCAGAGGCTGTCTGGCACCCTCCTTGGCACAGCACCTCCGGAATGAAAAAGATGGCAGATTGCCTCCACTTAGGCGAGGTAATGCGATTACGGAAGAGAAACACATCTACTTATTTGCAGCCAAATTGCGCTAATGTGGATGAGTAAGCCAAAGATATTAAATTCGGTTTAAGTCAAGAATCAGAGAAATAGAAAATAAAAAAAAGCATGGAATAAACACAGCCCTCCCTCCAGTTACCCCTCATTTCAAAGAAACGTCACTCTCCGATAATCGGTGGAAAGCCAGCACCGCCTGTAGAAATGTACAGACTAATTTCGCCTAGAAAAATATGCTGCACCCCTTCAAATCATTATTGTGGCACCAAACAACGGGCTGGAATAATTGCGCATTTGGATGGTCTAGCGACTTGTAGAGGCAAGATGCCTCTATTAAATAAGGATTCTCAGGAGCTAAGAAGATGAGAAAGCAGTAGGTTCCGATAAGGTGCAGTCTTCCGAACACGAGCTGAGGTCCTTGAGTTCAGCAAATTATAAACGATGTTTCCTTATTTGGCACCAAAGGAATACGAATTTCCTTCCCCACTCATTTTAACACAAAAGACAAATGCGGTGGATTATTATTCTGATAACTATGACAGAGTCCACGATTTGCATTAAATTCTTTGACCTGACTAGAGAGTGCAATTAAA